TAGTAAAACAAGGAACATTCTGACAAGTGGGGACATTTTGTCGTTCCCAACAAGGAAAAGGCAATTTTTTATTTTATTTTCTCTTAGGGGGTGGATCAGCTTTAATATTGCAAATAGATTGTGGCTCATATCAATGTAATTGTCTGTATCATTTCCAATCCCCCATATATATATTTTTTATAAATATACACTACCAGTCAAAGGTTTGGACACACCTACTCACTCAAGGGCTTTTCTTTATTTTTACAGTTTTTTACATTGTAGAATAATAGTGAAGACATCAAAACAATGAAATAACACATATGGAATCATGTAGTAAATAAAAAACTGTTAAACAAATCAAAATATATGTTATATTTGAGATTCTTCAAATAGCCACCCTTTGCCTTGATGACAGCTTTGCACACTCTTGGCATTCTCTCAACCAGATTCACCTGGAATGCTTTTCCAACAGTCTTGAAGGAGTTCCCACATATGCTGAGCACTTGTTGGCTGCTTTTCATTTCACTATGCGGTCCGACTCATCCCAAACCATCTCAACTGGGTTGAGGTCAGGGGATTCTGGAGGCCAGGTCATCTGATGCAGCACTCCATCACTCTCCTTCTTGGTAAAATAGCCCTTACACAGCCTGGAGGTGTTTTGGGTCATTGTCCTGTTGTAAAACAAATGATAGTCCCACTAAGCCCAAACCAGATGGGATGGCGTATCGCTGCAGAATGCTGTGGTAGCCATGCTGGTTAAGTGTGCCTTGAATTGTAAATAAATCACAGACAGTGTCACCAGCAAAGCACCCCCACACCATAACACCTCCTCCTCCATGCTTTACGGTGGGAAATACACATGTGGAGATCACAAAGAAACAGCGGTTGGAACGAAAAATCTCAAATTTGGACTCCAGACCAAAGGACACATTTCCACCGGTCTAATGTCCATTGCTCGTGTTTCTTGGCCCAAGCATGTCTCTCCATCTTATTGGTGTCCTTTAGTAGTGGTTTATTTTCCAGCAATTCGACCATGAAGGCCTGATTCACACAGTCGCCTCTGAACAGTTGATGTTGAGATTTGTCTGTTATTTGAACTCTGTGAAGCATTTATTTGGGCTGCAATTTCTGAGGCTGGTAACTCTAATGAACTTATCCTCTGCAGCAGAGGTAACTCTGGGTCTTTTATTACTATCGCGGTCCACATGAGAGCCAGTTTCATCATAGCGCTTGATGGTTTTTGCGACTGCACTTGAAGAAACTTTCAAAGTTCTTGACATTTTCCGTATTGGCTGATCTTCATATCTTAAAGTAATGATGGACTGTCATTTCTATTTGCTTATTTGGGCTGTTCTTCTGGTTAAAAACAAGTTGTCATCCAATAGACTTTGATACAATTTCCAATATCCTCGCCCACGTGGAAATTCTGTAAGAGTAATATATACAGTTGAAGTCGGAAGTTTACATACACCTTAGCCAAATACATTTAAACTCAGTTTTTCACAATTCCTGACATTTAATCCTAGTGTTAGGATGTCAGTGTGATGCGGTAGGACGAAGTCAGGCGCAGGACACAGAGCTAATCGAAAACGTACTTTACTCGTAGGTAACGTAAATAACATAACCTCCACGCAGGGAGGAAACAAACCCGCTCACCAGACGACAACCAAACATGGACAAACACGCACAACACACAGTGGGAGCCAGAGGGTTAAATAGGGAAGTGATCAATACGTAATGGGAACCAGGTGTGAACGATAAAGACAAGACAAGGAGAACACAGAAACATAGATCGGTAGCAGCTAGTACTCCGGGGACGACGAACGCCGAAGCCTGCCCGAGCAAGGAGGAGGAGCAGCCTTGGCTGAATTCGTGACAGTACCCCCCCCACTTGACGTGCGGCTCCAGCCGTGCGCCGACACCGGCCTCGGGGATGGTCAGGAGGACGCGGCGCAGGGCGAGTCGGATGACAATGGTGGAAATCCCTCAACATGGAGTGATCGAGGATATCCCTCCTAGGAACCCAGCACCACTCCTCCGGACCGTACTCCTCCCACTCCACGAGATACTGCAGGCCCCCCACCCGACGCCTCGAATCCAGGATGGAACGGACCAAGTACGCCGGTGCCCCCTCGATGTCCAGTGTGGGCGGAGGAACCTCCCGTACCTCAGACTCCTGGAGTGGACCAGCTACTACCGGCCTGAGGAGAGACACATGGAACGAGGGGTTAATACGGTAATTCAGAAGAAGCTGTAACCTATAACATACCTTGTTCAATCTCCTCAGGACTTTAAATGGCCCCACAAACCGCCGACCCAGCTTCTGGCAGAGCAGGCGAAGGGGCAGGTTTCGGGTCGAGAGCCAGACCCGATCACCCGGTGCATACACCGGGTTCTCACTGCGGTGGCGGTCGGCGCTCGCCTTTTGTTGCCTGATGGCCCGCTGCAGGCGTACATGGGCAGCGTTCCAGGTCTCTTCCGAGCGCCGAAACCACTCATCCACCGCAGGAGCCTCGATCTGGCTCTGATGCCAAGGTGCCAGGACCGGCTGATAAACTAACACACACTGAAAGGGAGAAAGGATGAGTGGCGGAGTGAGTTTTGGGCCATCTCTGCCCAGGGGATAAAACCTGACCACTCCCCCGGCCGGTCCTGGCAATAGGACCACAGAAACCTACCCACATCCTGGTTAACTCTCTCCACCTGGGGTAATGGGGTGAAAACCTGAGGTCAGGCTGATCGAGACCCCCAGACGTTCCATGAACGCCCTCCAGACCCTTGAGGTGACTAACTGACTTGCCAAAACTATAGTTTGTTAACAAGAAATGTGTGGAGTGGTTGAAAAACGAGTTTTAATGACTCCAACGTAAGTGTATGTAAACTTCCGACTTCAACTGTAAATACCAATTATTTGATGGTCTGACCGCATTCTGTCCCCTATCAAAACTTTTTTTTTTTTTTACTTTTGGTGCCAGCGAGAATGACATAAGAGAGTAGTCAAGACGACTAGCTTGATTGAGTCTCTGCCATGTATATCTCACTAGGTCAGGATATTTAAGCCTCCATATATCAACTAGTTCTAATATATCCATGATGAGTCTCCTCCATGTATATCTCACTAGGTCAGGATATTTAAGCCTCCATATATCTACTAGTTCTAATGTATCCATGACATTCATGATTTCCTTAAGTGCATGAGGGTGATAGTTTGTAATGTGATTTCCTTTACGGTCCATTGACGTATTTAAAACCGTATTATAATCCCCCACCATAATAATAGAGTCTTGTATTGCTTGTAGGTTTGATAAATTATTATATATATTTTCAAAGAAGCGTGGATCATCATTATTTGGACCATATAGATTAATGAGACAAATCTGTTTATGGTCCAATAACATATTTAAAATAACACATCTACCTTGTGGATCTGTTTGGACAATTTGCACATTCGGATCAAAAATATTGTTAGTTAATATCTTCACCCCTTTTTCTGTTTCTTTGCCCATGGGAGAAGTATATCCCCCCCCACCCCCACCCCCACCCCCCCCAGTCCTTTTTCACAAAACTTAATCTAAAATAGTTGAATGAGTTTCCTGTAAACAATAGATATTAAAACAAAACAAGACACATTATTACTATAGTAATATACTTTATTCCAGGCCAATTCTAAAGTATTATAGAAAGGGATATAATGTAACAGAATTTATGTTTCTAAAATACATGCACATAATATCTATGAAAATACTTAGAGATCATCGTTACTGAATATAAATTCATTTTTGATGTGTGCATTTAGAAAAAAATCTAAATACCAATCCTTTAAATGTGAGCGATTAGTACTACGCTACAAAGACAGTCAAACAGTTAACTATAGTCTAACAAAACTAGCTAAGCATAAAATCACGCTTATGTGACAAACACATCTATTTATTCAACCACCAAACTTTTAACAGGAAAAGCACTGTAGTGTTCTCTTGTTCTGGAAGAATGTCAACAAACACGTGACCAAAAAAAAAAATTACTCTCAGGAAGAATCACGTACTTGTCTGGTTCTATTCTAGAACTCCTGGAATCCTTTAGAATCCTCACAGTTTAGTTAAATCAAAATGACCATCATGTCTAGAAATTGAAATTCCGCCTCTATTACCTTGAAAACCCTACCTAATTGACACGTTCTCATTAGCTTATACATGTGTAGATAGATACATAGATGGACAGAGGTTGATAATAACAATATCATTTTGTTTGTCGCCCGTGAAATTAGATTCATCATCAAGTTGGAAGAAGAACCATTCGGGAAAAAAAATAAAAAATAACTCTTTGGAATCTGTCACAACAATTCCTGACTGTAAAACCATAGCTGATTGTTTGTTTGTTGTTGTTTTTTTCACGAGGAGAAATTCTAACTGTTGTTTTTGTTGTTGTTTTTTTTCACGAGGAGAAATTCTAACTGTACACCAACTAGAGCCCACATGCTGTAACTCACACTTACCACTCATTCAAATTCAAACCCCAGCTGTAACCTCTGACTCTAGTGTTACTTCTCTAACCATCGTGACATACTCTTCTATAACCAGCTAAAACCGGTCCTAACCACCATCTTGTTTCAGCAGCACAGCAGGTCTATAACAAGGCATCAAGGGCTGTGGCTGTCTCCCCAAAGGCACCCTATTCCCTATATAGTGCACTACGTTTGACCAGATCCCTTTGGGCCTTGGTCTAAAGTAGTGCACTGTGTAGGGAACAGGGTGCCATTTGGGATGCAACTATATCAAACCAGTTCTTATTGATCCAAAGTGCCTTTTGTTTTTCTTGTTATTATTATTTTTTTAAAATTTGTTTGGTTATTGATTAAGAATATCTTAACCTAATAGGTAAAGCATGAAAGCAGAGTGTGTGTGATCGATAAGGATACAATAACACCAATATTGATCAAATCATTACAAAATGTGTAACGGAATATGTCTGTGTTTGTAAAGATCCCATGTCAGTTAGTGATGTGCTGAAAGGTGACCCGGTTAAAACATATCAATCCACCTATAAAACAACAAGCTAAAGTAAACCAAAAAAAGCAATTTGATCTAATATCATGTAATAACCTAACAAACATAGAAGATTACTAAAAGATACAACAAAGCAACAGTGAATCAGGCTTGAATAAGACTGAAATATAAAGAAGATAGGATTCATAAAAAAAAAGCCCCATCATAATAACACGTTTTTATAAAACCTTTAACAACAGAAATATACTTTTGATTATTGAACATTAGGGTAAGTAGAGGAGAGTGTGGTTTGTTCGTCAATAATACAATTTCTTAGATACATCATTATTGCTCGACGTCACGATACACAATACACTACAATACACTACAATACACTACAATACACTACAATACACTACAATACACTACAATACACTACAATACAGAAAACTTGGTGTTGCTTTTTTGCTTTTGTTCCTCTTCTTCTCCCAAAGAAATACAACTGAAGCCACTTGATTTGACAATGACAGGTTTAAGTTATAGACACGCTGGCACAGCCAAGCAGCAGTATGATTTTAGTATACGAGGTCCCCGGCCCAGGCTCCAGCCCACCCCCCATCACCACCACACGGTCCTAACATGTCCTGCTCCAGCCCACCCCCATCACCACCACACGGTCCTAACATGTCCTGCTCCAGCCCACCCCCCATCACCACCACACGGTCCTAACATGTCCTGCTCCAGCCCACCCCATCACCACCACACGGTCCTAACATGTCCTGCTCCAGCCCACCCCCCATCACCACCACACGGTCCTAACATGTCCTGCTCCAGCCCACCCCCCATCACCACCACACGGTCCTAACATGTCCTGCTCCAGCCCACCCCCCATCACCACCACACGGTCCTAACATGTCCTGCTCCAGCCCACCCCCCATCACCACCACACGGTCCTAACATGTCCTGCTCCAGCCCACCCCCCATCACCACCACACGGTCCTAACATGTCCTGCTCCAGCCCATCCCCCATCACCACCACACGGTCCTAACATGTCCTGCTCCAGCCCCCCCATCACCACCACACGGTCCTAACATGTCCTGCTCCAGCCCATCCCCCATCACCACCACACGGTCCTAACATGTCCTGCTCCAGCCCACCCCCCATCACCACCACACGGTCCTAACATGTCCTGCTCCAGCCCACCCCCCATCACCACCACACGGTCCTAACATGTCCTGCTCCAGCCCACCCCCCATCACCACCACACGGTCCTAACATGTCCTGCTCCAGCCCACCCCCCCATCACCACCACACGGTCCTAACATGTCCTGCTCCAGCCCATCCCCCATCACCACCACACGGTCCTAACATGTCCTGCTCCAGCCCATCCCCCATCACCACCACACGGTCCTAACATGTCCTGCTCCAGCCCACCCCCCATCACCACCACACGGTCCTAACATGTCCTAACATGTGTAACCTAGACTTTGTCCCAAATGGCACCCTATTCCCTATATAGTACACTAATTTTGACCAGTGGCCACAGAGCTCTGGTCAAAAGTAGTGCACTGTGTAGGGAATAAGTGCCATTTGGGATTTAGCCCTAACTTAACCTAACCTAACTGAACCTAACCTAACTTAACCTAACCTCACTTAACCTAATCTAACTTAACCTAACTTAACCTAACCTAACTTAACCTTCCAAATCAGTAGTTCTTTCCCTAACTTCAGATACATCATTTTTGGTTTTCCCAGACTCATCGTTAATAACAACAAATAAAAACTATAAAAATGTAAAAGACATTAATAAAAAGAAAAAAAGCCAGGAAGCAGGAAGCAGGAGTATATGATGTTCATACATTTTCCCAAGACACTTTGAATGAGACGGCAGGAAGCAGGAGTCGTCCCAGACAGCTACGAAAGGTTGAGCTGCTGCCGCTTCTCACTGTGTTGTGGACTAGACAGTCCCTCCTTGTTGTTGTTGTGATAGTTGCAGGCCAAAATGCTTGATTTTGACATTTTGCACATTTGTTGTAGAGTAAAGGCACCAGAACAAGAAGCTCCGGGTGGTCACTGCTTGTTGTGGAAGTCCTGTCTTCCCGTTCGTCCGTCCGTCCGTCAGTCTTTGTCTTTCTGTCTCTGTATGTCCGTCTGTCTGTATGTCCGTCTGTCTCTGTATGTCCGTCTGTCTGTATGTCTGTCTGTCTCTGTATGTCCGTCTGTCTGTATGTATGCAGAGTACTAGTCTCGTCCATCAGCCAGATCTCTCTCAGCAGTCAGCCTGGGGGCAAGGGGAGAGGAGCACATGGAGGAAGCTGCCCAGCTCAGATACAGTCTGGGGGTCGTGGGGGTTAGGGGAGAAGGAGAGCATCAAGCCCTTTGCCTTGCCTAGTGGGGGTTAGGGGAGAAGGAGAGCACCAAGCCCTTTGCCTTGCCTAGTGGGGGTTAGGGGAGAAGGAGAGCACCAAGCCCTTTGCCTTGCCTAGTGGGGGTTAGGGGAGAAGGAGAGCACCAAGCCCTTTGCCTTGCCTAGTGCCAGCCGGCCGGCCAGCAGGTAAAGACTCCCTTGAAGTGATGGTGGGGTCGAAAAATGAGCAGCTCTCCTGCTCCAGGTATAGTCCTAGATGAAGCACAAGGCTAGCCGTGTGAAAAGATTTGGGGACCCTTGAATAAATTGTCTGTTCATGGGCCAGCCTTGAAGACACAGACAACAAAAAAGTAAGATATAGAAACAAGCATAAATAACAGAGTAGCACTGTCGAAAAGAGAGTTCAGCCAGCTATCATTGTGTATGCTGACCGACGACAGATATCATACATGTCCAGGGAGGAAGAAGGTTGGTTGAAATGTCTTTGTTGTATCAAATCATCTAGTTTGACTAGGCAGCAGTTCAGAGTGTAGACTTAGTGCGGAGAGGATGTAGCGTCTCTCTCTCTCTCTCTCTCTAGAACCCATCATCCCATTCCAGGCTCCTGTCATCCCTCTCCTAATATACCAGTGGTTCTGTAGGTCAGAATATGTAGTTCCACTGCTCAAGTCCTATTGGTGGGTCACGACTCAACACCCACCTCAGTTAGTAGGTCACAGAGAGAAAAAAAAAAGTTTGGAAACCCCCCGCTGTATACCATATAAGGGTCCAGCTTGTTCTATAAACGTGTTATAACCACGTTATAACCACGTTATAACCATGTGAGGAAGCTCTCCTTGTCGATCTTTGTGGCGGCCAGGACTGACTCCATATCGTTCAGGATGTCGGAGCTAAGGGCTTCCTGGAGACTAGGCATGAGCTCCTCCCCCTCCATGGCCATGCTCTCGCTCTCCAGCGTGCCGAGGTCCACGTCCGTCCCCGGGATGGTGTCCAGGTAGTCAGGGAAACGGCTGGGCTGCGTCCCAATGGAGGCCGGCAGGGCGTCCCCTGATGATGCCAAACGACGACATAAATACGTTACGACGTGGTTAGAATGAATTATGATATCATGTAATATACATTACGATAATAATAATAATAATAATAGTAATAATAATAATAATAATAATAATAATAATCTTATAATAATGGATTGGATTTATGTCCCAATAACGTCCCATATTGACCTTGACTAAATAGGTATTTTTAATGCTTGACAAAATGTAACTGTTGTCAACACTTTGTGAGAAGCGTTAAAGAGGAGATTGAGTCATCAGACTTTTTCCCTATGGGGGCCCTGGTCAAAAGTAGTGCACTACATAGAATAGGACGCTATTTAGTCTCACCAGTGTCCATCTCGTCCACACTGTTGAGGAAGTCGTCGGGGGTACGCGGGACGCTGTAGCTGCTCATGCTCAGACCGCTGTCTGTGCTCTCATCCCTGGAGTGGTAGGTCCCACTGTGGACACAAGAGACAGGATACAGTCAAACTTTATTGTTCCATAATGTAATCTGGAGACATGAATGAAAACTATTTCTCTATTCAATCCGTATCAATCCGTATTCAGCGTTACAGTGTGATTGAAATTTAAAGACAATGTTCCCCCAATAGTGGAGACTGTGCTCAATCGGAAATTACCTTTACATAACAAAGTCTGTAATGCTTCAGCGATCCAGATTGAATAGAGCCCCTAGTTTACAGATATAAATTACAAGAGGTAACAATCCTAATATACAAGAGTGTTCCCTAACAATGGATTTTCACTCAGACCTAAACCTTCTGTTTATTCACTCAGACCTAAACCTTCTGTTTATTCAGACCTAAACCTTCTGTTCACTCAGACCTAAACCTTCTCCTGTTCACTCAGACCTAAACCTTCTCCTGTTCACTCAGACCTAAACCTTCTCCTGTTCACTCAGACCTAAACCTTCTCCTGTTCACTCAGACCTAAACCTTCTCCTGTTCACTCAGACCTAAACCTTCTCCTGTTCACTCAGACCTAAACCTTCTCCTGTTCACTCAGACCTAAATCTTCTCCAGTTCACTCAGACCTAAACCTTCTCCTGTTCACTCAGACCTAAACCTTCTCCAGTTCACTCAGACCTAAACCTTCTCCTCACTCAGACCTAAACCTTCTCCTGTTCACTCAGACCTAAACCATGTCCTGGGCTACAAAAAAGTAAGTGGTAGGTTCTGCTGTGGAAAAGACACCAGACACAGTCAGACTTGACTGTTATAGTTTTACAAGGAGATCATGGGCTCAGACTTGACTGTTATAGTATTACAAGGAGAACATGGGCTCAGACTTGACTGTTACAGTATTACAAGGAGATCATGGGCTCAGACTTGACTGTTATAGTATTACAAGGAGATCATGGGCTCAGACTTGACTGTTATAGTATTACAAGGAGATCATGGGCTCAGACTTGACTGTTATAGTATTACAAGGAGATCATGGGCTCAGACTTGACTGTTATAGTATTACAAGGAGATCATGGGCTCAGACTTGACTGTTACAGTATTACAAGGAGATCATGGGCTCAGACTTGACTGTTATAGTATTACAAGGAGATCATGGGCTCAGACTTGACTGTTATAGTATTACAAGGAGATCATGGGCTCAGACTTGACTGTTATAGTATTACAAGGAGATCATGGGCTCAGACTTGACTGTTGCAGTATTACAAGGAGATCATGGGCTCAGACTTGACTGTTATAGTATTACAAGGAGATCATGGGCTCAGACTTGACTGTTATAGTATTACAAGGAGATCATGGGCTCAGACTTGACTGTTATAGTATTACAAGGAGATCATGGGCTCAGACTTGACTGTTATAGTATTACAAGGAGATCATGGGCTCAGACTTGACTGTTACAGTATTACAAGGAGATCATGGGCTCAGACTTGACTGTTATAGTATTACAAGGAGATCATGGGCTCAGACTTGACTGTTATAGTATTACAAGGAGATCATGGGCTCAGACTTGACTGTTATAGTATTACAAGGAGATCATGGGCTCAGACTTGACTGTTATAGTATTACAAGGAGATCATGGGCTCAGACTTGACTGTTACAGTATTACGAGGAGATCATGGGCTCAGACTTGACTGTTATAGTATTACAAGGAGATCATGGGCTCAGACTTGACTGTTATAGTATTACAAGGAGATCATGGGCTCAGACTTGACTGTTACAGTATTACAAGGAGATCATGGGCTCAGACTTGACTGTTATAGTTTTACAAGGAGATCATGGGCTCAGACTTGACTGTTATAGTATTACAAGGAGATCATGGCTCAGACTTGACTGTTATAGTATTACAAGGAGATCATGGGCTCAGACTTGACTGTTACAGTATTACAAGGAGATCATGGGCTCAGACTTGACTGTTATAGTATTACAAGGAGATCATGGGCTCAGACTTGACTGTTATAGTATTACAAGGAGATCATGGGCTCAGACTTGACTGTTATAGTATTACAAGGAGATCATGGGCTCAGACTTGACTGTTATAGTATTACAAGGAGATCATGGGCTCAGACTTGACTGTTACAGTATTACGAGGAGATCATGGGCTCAGACTTGACTGTTATAGTATTACAAGGAGATCATGGGCTCAGACTTGACTGTTATAGTATTACAAGGAGATCATGGGCTCAGACTTGACTGTTACAGTATTACAAGGAGATCATGGGCTCAGACTTGACTGTTATAGTTTTACAAGGAGATCATGGGCTCAGACTTGACTGTTATAGTATTACAAGGAGATCATGGGCTCAGACTTGACTGTTATAGTATTACAAGGAGATCATGGGCTCAGACTTGACTGTTACAGTATTACAAGGAGATCATGGGCTCAGACTTGACTGTTATAGTATTACAAGGAGATCATGGGCTCAGACTTGACTATTATAGTATTACAAGGAGATCATGGGCTCAGACTTGACTGTTACAGTATTACAAGGAGATCATGGGCTCAGACTTGACTGTTATAGTATTACAAGGAGATCATGGGCTCAGACTTGACTGTTATAGTTTTACAAGGAGATCATGGGCTCAGACTTGACTGTTATAGTATTACAAGGAGATCATGGGCTCAGACTTGACTGTTATAGTATTACAAGGAGATCATGGGCTCAGACTTGACTGTTACAGTATTACAAGGAGATCATGGGCTCAGACTTGACTGTTATAGTATTACAAGGAGATCATGGGCTCAGACTTGACTGTTACATTATTACAAGGAGATCATGGGCTCAGACTTGACTGTTCTAGTATTAAAATGAGATCATGGGCTCAGACTTGACTGTTCTAGTATTAAAATGAGATCATGGGCTCAGACTTGACTGTTATAGTATTACAAGGAGATCATGGGCTCAGACTTGACTGTTATAGTATTACAAGGAGATCATGGGCTCAGACTTGACTGTTATAGTATTACAAGGAGATCATGGGCTCAGACTTGACTGTTACAGTATTACGAGGAGATCATGGGCTCAGACTTGACTGTTATAGTATTACAAGGAGATCATGGGCTCAGACTTGACTGTTACAGTATTACAAGGAGATCATGGGCTCAGACTTGACTGTTATATTATTACAAGGAGATCATGGGCTCAGACTTGATTGTTACAGTATTACAAGGAGATCATGGGCTCAGACTTGACTGTTATAGTATTACAAGGAGATCATGGGCTCAGACTTGACTGTTATAGTATTACAAGGAGATCATGGGCTCAGACTTGACTGTTACAGTATTACAAGGAGATCATGGGCTCAGACTTGACTGTTACAGTATTACAAGGAGATCATGGGCTCAGACTTGAGTGTTATAGTATTACAAGGAGATCATGGGCTCAGACTTGACTGTTACAGTATTACAAGGAGATCATGGGCTCAGACTTGACTGTTACAGTATTACAAGGAGATCATGGGCTCAGACTTGACTGTTATAGTATTACAAGGAGATCATGGGCTCAGACTTGACTGTTACAGTATTACAAGGAGATCATGGGCTCAGACTTGATCGTTACAGTATTACAAGGAGATCATGGGCTAAACAAAGAACAACAACAACAAAATGCCTGCCTACAGCGCCCTCAATATCCGTCTTTCCACAGGGCATTATATCTCTATTATACTGACTGAGAGAGAGAGAGAGAGAGAGAGAGAGAGGAGAGAGAGAGAGAGAGAGAGGACATTTTGACTAACTGACTGACCGCTTTTCAAGAACAATCCCTACTATTCTCTACTGCCGTGAGAAAGAAAGAACATACTGAGAGAGAGAGAGAGAGAGGAAGAGAGAGAGAGACGAGAGAAGAGAGAGAGAGAGAGAGGAGAGAGAGAGGAGAGAGAGACATAGAGAAAGAGGGGTAGAGAGCGACAGAGATAACCAGCGAGGAAAAGACAGAGAGAGAGAGGGGGGAACAAAGACAGAGAGAGAAAAGAAAGAGACGGAGAGAGAGAGAGAGCTCTGACACTAATTAGCAGAGAAAAAGGCAGAGTAGCAAAGTACAGCCATGGTAGGATGAATGAGACCACTGTGAGAGCAGGGGAGAGGAGGGTGGGAAGGAAGAAGGGGAGGGTTAGTAGAGGGAGAAGAGGGGGAGGGGGGGGTAGAGAGGGAGAAGAGGGGAAGGAGAGGGGGAGGGGGAGGGGGAGGGGGGAGAGGGAGTAGAGGGGAGGGGAGGGGAGGGGAGGGGGAGGGGGAGGGGAGGGGGAGGGGGAGGGGGGGAGGGGCAGGAGGGAGGGGAGGGAGAGAGTAGAGGGGGAAGAAGGGGAAGGGAGGGGGAGGGGAGAGGGGAAGAGGGGGAGGGAGGGAGAAGAGGGGAAGGAGAGGGGGAGGGGAGGGGGAGGGGAGGGCAGTAGAGGGAGAAGAAGAAGAGGGGAGAGGAGGGGGGAGGGGAGGGGAGGGGGGGGAGGGAGGGGAGAGGGAGGAAGAAAAGGGGGAGGGGGGGGAGGGGAGGGGGAGGGGAGGGGGAGGGGGAGGGGAGGGCAGTAGGAGAGAAAAAGGGGGGAGGGGGGAGGGGAGGGGGAGGGCAGTAGAGAGGAGAGGGAGGAGAGGGGAGGGGAGGGCAAGTAGAGGGAGAAGGGAGGGGAAGGAGAGGGGGAGGGGGAGGGGAGGGGGGGGGGAGGGGAGGGGGGGGAGGGGGAGGGCAGAGTAGAGGGAGAAGAGGGGAAGGAAAGGGGGAGGGGAGGGCAGTAGAGGGAGAAGAGGGGAAGGAGAGGGGGAGGGGAGGGGGAGGGGAGGGGGGGGGGAGGGGAGGGGGAGGGGGAGGGGGGGGAGGGGAGGGGGAGGGGAGGGAGGCAGTAGAGTTAAGCTCAGTTGGTAGAGCATGGCGCTTGCAACGCCAGGGTTGTGGGTTCGATTCCCACGGGGGGGGGGGCAGTATTTTTTTAAATATATATACATAAAATGTATGCACTCACTAACTGTAAGTCGCTCTGGATAAGAGTGTCTGCTAAATGACTAAAATGTAAATGTAAAATGGGGAGGGCAGTAGAGGGAGAAGAGGGGAGGAGGGGGGAGGGGAGGGGGAGGGGAGGGGAGTGGGAGGGGAGGGCAGTAGAGAGAGAAGAGGGGAAGGAGAGGAGAGGGGAGGGGGAGGGGAAAAGTAGAGAGAGAAGAGGGGAAGGAGGGGGGAGGGGAGGGAGTAGGAGAGAAGAGGGGAAGGAGAGGGGGGGAGGGGGAGGGGGAGGGGAGGGCAGTAGAGAGAGAAGAGGGGAAGGAGAGGGGGAGGGGAGGGGAGGGGAGGGCAGAGTAGAGAGAGAAGAGAGGGGAAGGAGGAGGGGGAGGGGAGGGCAAGTAGAGAGAGAAGAGGGGAAGGAGAGGGAGGGGAGGGGGAGGGGGAGGGGGAGGGGAGGTAGGGAGAGAGAGAGAAGAGGGGAAGGAGAGGGGGAGGGGAGGGGGAGGGGAGGGCAGTAGAGAGAGAAGAGTCTGGCCTGTCTGCTGACTGGATCACATGTTCTCACAGGCTGCTTGCTATTCAGCCTGGCCCTCATTGGCTGCTTGCTATTCAGCCTGGCCCTCATTGGCTGCTTGCTATTCAGCCTGGCCCTCATTGGCTGCTTGCTATTCAGCCTGGCCCTCATTGGCTGCTTGCTATTCAGCCTGGCCCTCATTGGCTGTTTGCTATTCAGCCTGACCTTCATTGGCTGGCTGTCTATTCAGCCTGGCCCTCATTGGCTGGCTGTCTATTCAGCCTGGCTCTCATTGGCTGGCTGTCTATTCACCATGGCCCTCATTGGCTGGCTGTCTATTCACCCTGGCTCTCATTGGCTGGCTGTCTATTCACCATGGCCCTCATTGGCTGGCTGTCTATTCACCCTGGCCCTCATTGGCTGGCTGTCTATTCAGCCTGGCTCTCATTGGCTGGAACAGAGGCTATAGGGCTAAACAGCTGACCTCCATGTGTCATGTTACAGGCTTTGGTCTTTCCAGGTTGGATGTTAGCACGTGGGGCGCACCGGTTGGTTTCACCTTGTTAGTCAGTAAGGGCATATGGCAATCCAAAAGCAGTAGTCAAAGAGTTGATCGGTCCTGTTTTGGTGGAAGAGGAAATCCTCTCGCAGAGACGTGGATCAGATGTGTTTATGCAACTTACAAATCTCATAAACCCTCAGGGTGGACGTCAGTGACAGAAACAGCAGAGCTTCAGAGTAGATGGTTAGGGCGACTACCACACTCATTCCCAGCGAGAAAACCAAATAACGTCGCTCAAACAGAAGGGGGAACTAACAAAGAGTCACTGACCAACAACCAAAACTAAACAGGTGGGGTTTTAGGAGGGGTTCTGAAAGACACTCATGGGGGGGGTCCACTGGAAGTTGACTAGCAACACCTGGGACCTAAAAGACGACCACCATGAGACCCACTAAATCTGCCCAAGAAGAGGCAAAGACAAGAAAAACCCACAAACTGAAAGACAGGAAGCAAACCACAAAGTGGAGCAAAATGAAAACAGGGAAGATCAGATAAATAAATGTTTTTCTAGAAGTCAAATAGGGAGAGACAACTAAAGGTGTTAACGCTCCACATCTATCAAGACAACCGGAGCACTGGGCCAGCCACTCTTAAATATCACCTGGGCCAGCCACTCTTAAATATCACCTGGGCCAGCCACTCTTAAATATCACCTGGGCCAGCCACTCTTAAATATCACCTGGGCCAGCCACTCTTAAATATCACCTGGGCCAGCCACTCTTAAATATCACCTGGGCCAGCCACTCTTAAATATCACCTGGGCCAGCACAGGTGTAACACATACTGACTACGTGCTAACCTCCAACCTCAAAATATAAATGGAAAAACCAAAGCCTGTAACAGTCTCCATTCCTATAGGTCTATGTACACGGGCCCCGTGTAGCTCAGTTGGTAGAGCATGGCGCTTGCAACGCCAGGGTTGTGGGTTCGTTTCCCACCGGGGGCCAGTATGAAAAAAGTATGAAAATGTATGCACTCACTAACTGTAAGTCGCTCTGGATAAGAGCGTCTGATAAATGACGTAAATGTAAAATGTCTTTGTGTTATTTCCTGTAAGCGTCCGAGCAATTAACAATTTTACTGTAAATGCATACACTCATTTTCAATGCATCCAGCTCAGACATAATACCAAAAAATGTGTTGACAATAACACTGGAAGTTGTGGCTGAAACTCCTTAACCATTCAAATGCCTTGTTAGTTGAACCATTTAAGACACTTTTTAAAACCAATACAATCTGCAAATGTTTCATTAAAAAAAACATTTATATAATTTGACAAAATGTTCAGCTGCATAGGAAATTCAATGAGTGTGTGTGTGTGTGTGTGTAACCATATTGGAAAAGAATGGTTTAATATGAAGATATCTAGAAACTGCTCCTCCAATTGAAATCCCAGATTACACCTTCATGCAACGTCATGGCGACCTTGGCTAGCTAAATGCCCAACAAGAAGTCTCACCAATGTTGATTGAGCCTCTGGGTTTAGAAACTCAGTGTCGTGCAGTAACCCATCCTGCCCACCAGATGTCAGTATTGTGCAGACTCGCTCTCTCATCACAGCCCCCCCCCCCCCCCCCCCCCCCCCCCCCCCCCCCCGGTCTGAATGAGTCACTTCCATGTGAACAGGGTTAAGATGAGAGATGGCTCACACAGGGGCTCAAACTCCCCCCCCCCCCCCACCACAGCACTATGCACACACACACAGTTATGATAGGATACACACAATGCACACACACACACACACACACTGAGAGTTCTGACAGGAACACACATTATAGACACACTCTCGAGAGGAAACAAACAGTTACTAGTGAAAGAGAGGCAGAGACTCTACAGCCCAGAGTTTTTCCTGCCTGCTCAGGTCACATTAGGTTACAGTAATCATGCTCTGAACTTCAAATAGGGCTGACGTCATCCCACTGCAACTTACTAATACTTCAAACACTATGACACAAATCATGAGTCATGTTCTTTTTGGATCTGTGTTTTAGCCTATCGAGAACACCCTGAGACGGTTTTTCCGGACACAGATGTAGCTAACACAAAGATAAGGTGTTTCTAGTGGGCCAGGCTAAATCTGTGTCTGGGAAACGGGCCCCTCACTGACTTTAGATAAACAGATAGACACACCTGTTGAGGAAAGATGCAACGCACCATATAATTACATGTATAATTCCTTTGTGATAAACTTTAAGACCTGCTGCTATAAGCTGTCAAAACAACTGAATAAGGCGTACCTGTTGAGGAATGGGTCAGAACTGTTGGTTGTCATGGTTCTGGCATCCTGGCCCATCCCAGGGGACGACACAGGGTTGACGGTTCCCCCGTCCTGCTCCATGCTGACAGGTAGTTGGGTCCTCAAAGCCAGCTCCTATAACACACAGCACACACACCATCTGTTAATGGAACTCAAGGAAAAAAGTAAGTACTCCTGTCCAGTCCAGAATGGCCCATAGGGCAGGAGCCTATCTCCTGTTTCTGTAGTGAGGCAGCTTGATGTACCAGGACACCCCCTGGACAGGACACTAGTCTATCTCCTGTTTCTGTAGTGAGGCAGCTTGATGTACAGGACACCCCCTGGACAGGACACTAGTCTATCTCCTGTTTCTGTAGTGAGACAGCTTGATGTACCAGTACACCCCCTGGACAGGACACTAGTCTATCTCCTGTTTCTGTAGTGAGGCAGCTTGATGTACCAGGACACCCCTTGGACAGGACACTAGTCTATCTCCTGTTTCTGTAGTGAGACAGCTTGATGTACAGTACACCCCCTGGACAGGACACTAGTCTATCTCCTGTTTCTGTAGTGAGACAGCTTGATGTACAGTACACCCCTTGGACAGGACACTAGTCTATCTCCTGTTTCTGTAGTGAGACAGCTTGATGTACCAGGACACCCCCTGGACAGGACACTAGTCTATCTCCTGTTTCTGTAGTGAGACAGCTTGATGTACAGTACACCCCCTGGACAGGACACTAGTCTATCTCCTGTTTCTGTAGTGAGACAGCTTGATGTACAGTACACCCCCTGGACAGGACACTAGTCTATCTCCTGTTTCTGTAGTGAGACATCTTGATGTACAGTACACCCCCTGGACAGGACACTAATCTATCTCCTGTTTCTGTAGTGAGGCAGCTTGATGTACAGGACACCCCCTGGACAGGACACTAGTCTATCTCCTGTTTCTGTAGTGAGGCAGCTTGATGTACAGGACACCCCCTGGACAGGACACTAGTCTATCTCCTGTTTCTGTAGTGAGGCAGCTTGATGTACCAGGACACCCCCTGGACAGGACACTAGTCTATCTCCTGTTTCTGTAGTGAGACAGCTTGATGTACAGTACACCCCCTGGACAGGACACTAGTCTATCTCCTGTTTCTGTAGTGAGACAGCTTGATGTACAGTACACCCCCTGGACAGGACACTAGTCTATCTCCTGTTTCTGTAGTGAGGCAGCTTGGTGTACAGGACACCCCCTGGACAGGACACTAGTCTATCACAGGGCGGAACACATAGTAGGTTGTAATTGTATATTCTGGACTGATTTTATGTATAAATGTGTCAGTGTCACTTTAATGCAGTAGCCTCAGAATATTCCTCAGCCCAGCTCCCAGCTGACCACACCGATATGTGTTAGGGGTGAAATAACTAAGTCCTTGTATGCCAAAGTCTCAGTCTGTGTGTGTGTGTGTGTGTGGGTCACCAAGTTCATTTGCTTTCTATCCACTGTATACAAAGTTAAATCTAGGATTAAATAGACAGACACCATTACACCATTACCTGAACCTTCCACTAGTTTCCACTTGAGTAGGACAGTAGAGAGAGAGAGAGAGAGAGAGAGAGAGAGGAGAGAGAGAGAGAGAGAGAGACGAGAGGAGAGAGAGATCGAGAGAGAGAGAGGAGAGAGAGAGAGAGACTAGAGAGAAGGAGGAGAGGGGCGGAAGAGAGAGAGAGGAGAGAGAGAGAGACGAGAGGAGAGAGAGAGAGAGAGTGAGTTATTTCCAGAGCATGCAGAAGTAAAGCGGGATTGAAGTTGTGATTAAACTGCTTCTTTCCATCCGTCAAAGTCAATCAAATGAGAGGCTGGGTTAAAAGTAGGAGAAAGAGGAATAGGGCGCCATTCGAGGACACAGTTAATGTCTATGTGTAACGGTAGCCCTGTCTACCTCCTTCCTGCCATCACTAAGCCCTGATAAGCCCTGCATAGCCTGCATAGCTCCACTAGCCCTACATAAGCCCACTAGGGCACTGCAGAAAGCCCTCCAGCTAGCCCTCCATTGCCCTCAACTAGCCCTGCACTTACCCCACTAGCCTGGGCCCTCCACTAGCCCTGCACTAGCCCTGCACTAGCCCTGCACTAGCCCTCCACTAGCCCTCCACTAGCCCTGCACTAGCCCTGCACTAGCCCTCCACTAGCCCTGCACTAGCCCTGCACTAGCCCTGCACTAGCCCTGCACTAGCCCTCCACTAGCCCTCCACTAGCCCTGCACTAGCCCTGCACTAGCCCTCCACTAGCCCTGCACTAGCCCTGCACTAGCCCTGCACTAGCCCTGCACTAGCCCTCCACTAGCCCTGCACTAGCCCTGCACTAGCCCTGCACTAGCCCTCCACTAGCCCTGCACTAGCCCTGCACTAGCCCTGCACTAGCCCTGCACTAGCCCTGCACTAGCCCTGCACTAGCCCTGCACTAGCCACACACAACCGAGCCAACTTAAAGCTGAGTAGGATATGATCTCGTTTTTATGAAGAACGTAAAACCGCAGCTAGACACCTCGGTGGTTCATAAAAACTTTATTGGTCGAGGTTAATGAGAACGGACACACTGTTCTCTCCCAAAATAGTTGACTTTTCATTACCTTGCAGAAATGACAGATTTTAAGAGGTTGGTGCAATTTTCTTTCCTGTGAAGAACACTTCTATAAGGGCTATTCAATTAGAGGTTTTTAGAGGCTGGTTTTTCTATTAACTGTTTCTAGTGTGTCTACTGTTTCATTACTGAGGAATAACCCGATGTTACAGTAATCAAGTATCCTTTACTGGGGAATAACCCGATGTTACAGTAATCAAGTAACCCTTTACTGGGGAATAACCCGATGTAACAGTAATCAAGTAACCCTTTACTGGGGAATAACCCGATGTTACAGTAATCAAGTAACCCTTTACTGGGGAATAACCCGATGTACAGTAATCAAGTAACCCTTTACTGGGGAATAACCCGATGTTACAGTAATCAAGTAACCCTTTACTGGGGAATAACCCGATGTTACAGTAATCAAGTAACCCTTTACTGAGGAATAACCCGATGTTACAGTAATCAAGTAACCCTTTACTGAGGAATAACCCGATGTTACAGTAATCAAGTAACCCTTTACTGAGGAATAACCCGATGTTACAGTAATCAAGTAACCCTTTACTGAGGAATATCCCCCGATGTTACCTGTAAATCAAGTAACCCTTTACTGGGGAATAAACCCCAGTTACAGTAATCAAGTAACCCTTTACTGGGGGAATAACCCGATGTTACAGAATCAAGTAACCCTTTACTTGGGGAATAACCCGATGTTACGTAATCAAGTAACCTTTACTGGGAATAACCCGATGTTACAGTAATCAAGTAAACCCTTTACTGGGGAATAACCCGATGTTACAGTAATCAAGTAACCCTTACTGGGGAATAACCCGATGTTACAGTAATCAAGTAACCCTTTACTGGGGAATAACCCGATGTTACAGTAATCAAGTACCCTTTACTGGGAATAACCCCGATGTTACAGTAATCAAGTAACCCTTTACTGAGGAATAACCCGATGTTACAGTAATCAAGTAAACCCTTTACTTGGAATAAACCCGATGTTACAGTAATCAAGTAACCTTTACTGGGGAATAACCCGATGTTACAGTAATCAAGTAACCCTTTACTGGGGATAACCCGATGTTACAGTAATCAAGTAACCCTTTACTGGGGAATAACCCAATGTTACAGTAATCAAGTAACCCTTTACTGGGGAATAACCCGATGTTACAGTAATCAAGTAACCCTTTACTGAGGAATAACCCGATGTTACAGTAATCAAGTAACCCTTTACTGGGGAATAACCCAATGTTACAGTAATCAAGTAACCCTTTACTGGGGAATAACCCGATGTTTACAGTAATCAAGTAACCCTTTACTGAGGAATAACCCCGATGTTACAGTAATCAAGTAACCCTTTACTGGGGAATAACCCAATGTTACAGTAATCAAGTAACCCTTTACTGAGGAATAACCCGATGTTACAGTAATCAAGTATTCCTTTACTGGGGAATAACCCGATGTTACAGTAATCAAGTAACCCTTTACTGGGAATAACCCGATGTTACAGTAATCAAGTAACCCTTTACTGGGGAATAACCCGATGTTACAGTAATCAAGTATTCCTTTACTGGGGAATAACCCGATGTTACAGTAATCAAGTAACCCTTTACTGGGGAATAACCCGATGTTACAGTAATCAAGTAACCCTTTACTGGGGAATAACCCGATGTTACAGTAATCAAGTAACCCTTTACTGAGGAATAACCCAATGTTACAGTAATCAAGTAACCCTTTACTGGGGAATAACCCGATGTTACAGTAATCAAGTAACCCTTTACTGAGGAATAACCCGATGTTACAGTAATCAAGTAACCCTTTACTGGGGAATAACCCGATGTTACAGTAATCAAGTAACCCTTTACTGGGGAATAACCCAATGTTACAGTAATCAAGTAACCCTTTACTGAGGAATAACCCGATGTTACAGTAATCAAGTATTCCTTTACTGGGGAATAACCCGATGTTACAGTAATCAAGTAACCCTTTACTGGGGAATAACCCGATGTTACAGTAATCAAGTAACCCTTTACTGGGGAATAACCCGATGTTACAGTAATCAAGTATTCCTTTACTGGGGAATAACCCGATGTTACAGTAATCAAGTAACCCTTTACTGGGGAATAACCCGATGTTACAGTAATCAAGTAACCCTTTACTGGGGAATAACCCGATGTTACAGTAATCAAGTAACCCTTTACTGGGGAATAACCCGATGTTACAGTAATCAAGTAACCCTTTACTGGGGAATAACCCGATGTTACAGTAATCAAGTAACCCTTTACTGAGGAATAACCACTGCTACTGTCCCTTCTCTGCAGCCCTCATCCCACTCACTGGTTACATCCCAAATGGCACCCTAGTCCTAACGGCGCTGGTCAAAAGTGCACTATATAGGGATTAGGGTGGCATTTGGGACTCATTCACTATGTTGTTACTGTGTTGTTACAGGGTGGGCAGGGTGGGCATGGTGGGCATGGGGGCATGGTGGGCATGGTGTGGGCATGGTGGGCATGGTGGGCATGGGTGGGCATGGTGGGCAGGGTGGGCAGGTGGGCATGGTGGGCATGGTGGGCATGGTGGGCAGGGTGGGCATGGTGGGCATGGTGGGCAGGGTGGGCATGGTGGGCATGGGTGGGCATGGTGGGCAGGGTGGGCATGGTGGGCATGGTGGGCAGGTGGGCAGGGTGGCATGGTGGGCATGGTGGGCATGGTGGGCATGGTGGGCAGGGTGGGCATGGTGGGCATGGTGGGCATGGTGGGCAGGGTGGGCATGGTGGGCATGGTGGGCAGGGTGGGCAGGGTGGGAAGGGTAAGCAGGGCAGGCACTACCCTGTGAAAATGAATGAAAAATGAAAAATATATATTTTATCAATAATGTTGTCATCTACATGTTTTTTCTGCATGATAAAATTGATTTCTGAACTAATACTTCCCAAATCTGGTGATCTGGTACAAAATGCGCAAGGAGGCCAGGGGAAAGGCAGCCTCGTCATGTGCCTGCCTTTCCCCTCCTTCAAACGCAATGCAAGGCATTGACATGATTGATATGATTACGTTTGCAATCGCAACAAATAATCTGCTCAAACCCCAACCAAGGATTATCAAAAGTCGTGGTATAAATTCTCGGACAACCCAAAGATTCCTAGATGCCCTTCCAGACTCCCTCCACCTACCCAAGGACGTCGGAGTTCAAAAATTGGTTAACCACCTAACCGAGGATCTAACCTTACCCGTAATACCCTAGATGCAGTCGCACCCTTAAAAACAAAAAACATTTGTCACAAGAAATTTGCTCCCTGGTATACAGAAAATACCCGAGCCCTAAAGGAAGCTTCCAGAAAATTGGAACGGAAATGGTGCCTCACCAAACTGGAAGTCTTCCGACTAGCTTGGAAAGAAAGTACCGTGCAATATCGAAGAGCCCTCACTGCTGCTCAATCAGCCTATTTTTCCAACCTAATTGAGGAGAATAAGAACAATCCAAATTGTATATTTGATGCTGTCGCAAAGCTAACTAAAAACCAGCATTCCCCAAGAGAGGATGGCTTTCACTTCAGCAGTGATGAAATCATGAACTTCTTCAATGAAAATATCATGATCATTAGAAAGCAAATTACGGACTCCTCTTTGAATCTGCGTATTTCTCCAAGAGTTTGCACAGAACTGCCAGGACCTCGAGTGGAATGAATGAAAGTTTTTTAATCCTGTATCTCTTGACACATTCATGGAAATTGTAATGGCCTCTAAACCTTCAGGCTGCATACTGGACCCTATTCCAACTAAACTACTGAAATAGCTACTTCCTGTGCTTGGCCCTCCTATGTTGAACATAATAAATGTCTCCCTATCCACCAGATGTGTCTCAAACTCACTAGAATTGGCAGTAATTAAGCCTCTCTTGAAAAAGCCAAACCTTGACCCAGAAAATGTAAAAAACTATCGGCCTATATCGAACCTACAAAGCATTACATGGACTTGCTCCTACCTATCTCTCCGATTTGGTCCTGCCGTACATACCTACACGTACGCTACGGTCACAAGACGCAGGCCTCCTTATTGTCCCTAGAACTTCTAAGTAAACAGCTGGAGGCAGGGCTTTCTCCTATAGAGCTCAATTTTTATGGAATGGTCTGCCTATCCATGTTAGGGAAGCAGACTTTATCTCAACCTTTAGGTCTTTACTGAAGACTCATCTCTTCAGTAGGTCCTATGAGTGAGTGTAGTCTGGCCCAGGGGTGTGAAGGTGAACGGCAAGGCACTGGAGCGACGAACCGCCCTTGCTGTCTCTGCCTGGCCGGCTCCCCTCTCTCCATTGGGATTCTCTG